CCGCTTGCTTTGGCTCTCTGCTAAGTCCATCACAGCTTTGTTTTTATATCCTCGTCGCTGTATTTTATGGCCCAGTAAAACCTAGAAAGCTGCTTCACAAAGCACACGTGCCAGCTCTTTGATGTTTGTGTCTGCGTGGCAGCTTGCTGGAACTCAGCACCCCCCACCCTGCCCTCCTCATCAGCTCTGCAGCAAGGTTGGATGTTAGGAAGAATTTCTTCTCGGAAGGAGCAGCTGGGCATTGGCACAGGCTGTGCAGGGAGGTGGTGGAGTCACCATCCCTGGAGGTGCTTAAGGAATGGGCAGATGCAGTACTGATGGTCAGTGGGCAATACTGGTGGTAGGTGGGCAGTTGGATTCGATGACCTCAAGCTCTTTTCCAACCTTATTGACTCTATGTTTTTAAGCCATAGGTCAGCAGCTCTAGCAGAACCCCAGACATCTCCACTTGTGGCCAAGTGACACGGCTCAAGCTGCCATAAACCTGTCCCAGCAGAGGCTGAAGGAGCTCAGCTTGGCTTGCAGGGTTGCCCCATGGCCAGTTGTGGGACTGAGGGTGCTGCCCCTAAGGCTTCTGTACCTATGCAAGCAACTCAGAGGGCACAAGCAAGGATCAGCACTGCAGCTGAGTGACTGACCAAGGGTCTGAAAACCAGTTCTGAAGAACATCAGGAGATGTTTTCAGACCGGTGCCATACCTGCCAGGTAACATGGCCTCTCCTGGTGCCTGCACAAAGCCCAGGTCAGTAAATCGGTCAGCAGGTTGGTGCTGGATACATCCAACAGAGTCTGGATCACCAACCTCAGCACCTGCCCACACCCAACAGATTCTGGATTGGACACAGAAACGCATAAAGACAGAATTACCCGTATGATTAATTAGAAGTAGCTTTATGGAGAGATCGCTTTTGTTCTTTACGCTCAAATCTCTCTCTCTGAATAAAAATTATATTGTTGTACGTTGTTAAAGTATAAAAATACAGTTAAAGCTCAACTCGGAGGTTACCTCACTGCATATTTTTGTTCCTACGCTCTTTAGAAAGTGATATTTCCCTCTGACCCAGAAGAACTGGAAAAACTTCTACGCTGAGAATGAGCAGAAGACCTCTGTCGAGAACTGTTTTTCAGCCTGCAGTAATTAACGAGTGCTGTAGACCATCACTTAATACGATACAAACAGAGCTGCCAAATCTCAGGATTATATCTGGAGCTTTACTCTCAAGTCCGCAGCATCTGGAAACATGTGATTTTAAGAATATCTCAGCTCTGATATTTTTTTTTTTTCAAATGCTTTTCTAAATTCTGTGGCTGCAGAGGAAAGCTTAAGAACACAAATTGTAAAAGCTATCAAAAGCAGAACAAAAAGTTCAGCATTAATATTTTTTAACTTTTTCTCCTTCCAAGCTGCCTCTCGAGCTGCAGCCTTGATCCACGGTATTTTGGTGACCAGCAGTTGGTGGTGCTCAATCTGTCACAGTAAATAACGAATGCTGCAAGCCATTCCTTAGCAGTTTTACAAACAGTTCTGGCTCCCAGAGAAGAAGGGTCCCTCCAGGGCTGGGACTTGTTAACACCAATGTGTTTGCACCTTGCGTAGAGAAGGCATCACTCTGATCTTCCAGGACTTCTGAAAGGGGAAAACACTTCTTCCTCCACCACGACATGAGTAACACAAAATGGAAAGTTATTTCATTTGGCTCAGCTGAATACAAAGAGCCAACAATTCCCAGGTCCCTGCTTGGTCTGCAGCTCCTTTGGCTCACCCATCACAAACCAAAGGGGAATGTGAAGGGCAAAGCTGCCTTCCTGGTGAGCCAGGGAAGGCTGCCCAGCACCCACACAGCTCTCACAACTCAGTCTTCTGGTGACAGCAGGGCAGAACCTCACATCTCAGCAACAAGCCTACAGCCGAAGTGGGTTCATCCAACAGGAAGGAGGTGTGCTCGTTTGAGCTGATCAAGAAGCTGAGAGTAACTTCTATGGGAGTATGCCTTCTTTCATGGACAGCTACTGAAAGAGAGCTCACTCATCACTCAGGACTTCAGATGAAGAAAACATGAGAAGTTCTTGATTTTCAGCTGCTTCATTTTTCTTCTTTCCCTGAACCCATTCTGCCCTCAAGTGGGATGCGTTCCACAGACAGTCCCCAGGCATCCACAAGGCCCTGCCCAGACCTCTGGCTCCAGCCCCTCATTTTCACACAACAGGGAAGGCAAAAACCACTCCAGTATTGATTCAGCCTCCTGGGCAAGAAAGGCTCTCCAGCACAGCACCCAACACAAACTCAATGCCACCTATCCCACCACCACTGTTACGTGTTGCTGGGGCAAGAAGGTTGCCCAAGACCAGCACAAGGGTTAACATCAGAGTGCTGCAATAAATGCACTGTCAATTTAATCTGCTTTCTACAAAGCCGATTTGTCTGCCTTTTCAAGATATTCACCACTGGGGTCTTGAGCATGAGTTGAAGGAGGGGGTGGAGAGGGGCAGAGTGTGTCAGCAGGGTTTAATGGGGCAAAGTGAAGTGCCATGAACAGGCAGCTCTCTCTTGTTAACCCCAGAGAGAAATTCTGGCTTCAAATGCCTAAAGCAGGCTACAATGGGATGGAAATGTTTCTGCTCTGGTTATTGTCATCCTGGGTTTGGGTCCTAAATGTTTACCTCTCTGCTCAGAGCCCGAGGTTCAGTGTCTGTGGCAGTGCAGGTGCTGATGGACAAACAGAGAATTTCCAGATGGTGCTGGAGTCCCGAGATAGCACAGCCCTCCCCGACCTACTGAGCTGGGCAGCGGGCAGAGACAGCCCAGCCCTCTTTCCACTGCCCTTCCCTGCCCTCCATCACACCTCTTTGGCTTCCAGCAATGTTGTGTCTCACACAGAGTCACTGCCTTCAAACACACAGAGGAAACCCAAACTGGCAGCACTGCCCTCAAGGTGTCCAGCTGCAAAACCCGGTTGCTGTTCCTTGCCTCCTCCTGCTCTCCATTCACCACTGCAAGGTGAGATCTGTCAGTGGTAGCTCCCATTGCCACACAAGGTGTCCCTTGGTGGGCATTTGCAGACTCTCTCATGTCCTTCAAGCTCTTCTGAAGCCCTCCCCCATCAGTCCTGCTCTCACACAAGCCTGTGCTCTGGGTCACAGTGGTTTGTACCCAGAAACTACACTACAGACTAAGATTTTGGGGCTGCCCCAACATGCGGGCTAGATCCAGACAGGCCACAGTGCAGGAACCTGCACGTGAGCTGTGCAGTGGAAAATGAGTAACCAGAGCTAACACTGTGATAGTATCTCTGAGAATAATCACGCACTGAGCTCCTACCATGTTGTTTATAAAGGCAGAGCAGGCAGCAATCCAAGCACAGCCACGTGGGAACAGTGCAGGAATGAGCACACAAGGCCCCTCGCTTGCACAGACAGGACATAAAACAGAGACAGGGAATTTATTCCACCCTATACTAGGCTGGACTGGGGCTTCTCCACTCTCTGCTCAGTGGATTAGCAGCCTCTAACAATGCCTGTCACAAAAGCTCTCCATTTCATTTCCAAAAACTTGATACTGTTTGTAATTTCTCATACCTGCTAATCTCTTCTGGACGTCCTCTGGAGCACAGGTTGTGCTGAGCCACGTGCCGTAGGCTCACACAGCTGGCTGCCTGGCTACCTGCTGCAGCAAGGCCCAGGCAATGAGCAGGGCTTGGGTGTCTCAGCTGCAGGGCTTCTGCCTATGGGAACAAAAAGCAACAGGCATTTTAGAGACATGCTGTACTGAGCTGGTAAATCAGCGTGGCACTACTAAGGGCAACAACCGCTCGTCTGTGCTGCTCTAAGAACCTTCCAAAGTCACTTCTGGCATCTCACACAAGTTTCCAGAGTCCCTGTCCTCTCCTTCTTCTCGGTGTAAAACTCCAATGACTCTTTTAAGCAGCAAGGTAGCGCACAGAAGAAACCGTACAGAAATAAGCCCTTGCACCCCAGCAACCACAGGCCACTTTGAGGGAAGAACGCAGGCTGCAAACACAAGGGAGGGGATTACGAAGCAGCTGCTGCAAAGAAAGAGGCTTCTGTTTCCAGCAGCAAAAAGTTCCCTTGGCACAAAAATAAGCCCTGAGGCCACGTCTGATAAAAATTTCCTTCACTCCTGAGCCCTCCTCCCTCTGTTGATGCATCACCATTTCCACACTCCATCCCTCAGAGGCTGCTCCTCCGCCACCAACACCAGGTGATGGGGACATGACAGCAGCGCTGACACCATTTGGCTGTGTGCTTTCCAACAGCACAAACACGTGCTGTGACGTAGGGCACAGACCTCAACTTATGGCAGCCTGGAGCATCACAGCCTCCATGTGCTACTCATAAAAGCAACATGAAGAACTGCTTTGCAGCGCATTTCTCCTATTTTTCCCCTTTCTCCTCAGCTCCAAATGAATGCATTTGGCTGGGGTGAGAAAAGGGGGAGAAGGACACTGGGAGTTATTCACTTATTGCAGCCCTTTTTACATCGCATTTTCCTCCCCTTACAACCTGGCCCTGGCTGGTTTCCCAAGCAAGAACAGAGAGCCGGAGGTCCATCCATCTCTATTTAAATGCCTTTTGCACTGAATTGAGTAACTGTACCTCTATTTTACTCCGAGGCTAAAGGTGACTAACTTAAAGGTGATTATCTTTTGTTAATAGCCTACATTAGTGAGCGAGATCTCGGAATTACCTTTGTAATCCTTCCTCACACTTTAATGTTGCTATTATTAATATTGCTCTTTAAAACACACTTCTCTCCTGCCACGTAGAGACAGTGGCTGCTGGTTCTCACACAGATGGTGGTAACGTACCTTCCATGACCACTGGGGAGGATCCTGGAGCATTGCACACAGCTGTCCGTGCAAGCACTGTCATGAAGGAGGCAACTCAGGATGGATGGACACTCAATAGGGACAGCACAGATTCTATGCTGTCCTTCACCATTTTTCATTATTTAGACAAAACATTTTACCTTTTAAACGAACCCATCCTCAGCCTTCCATCCCAGCGCAGGCCCCAGGGCTCAGTGGCAAGGCTCCTGAAATACCCCATCAGGAAATCCCTGCCAAGCATAAAGAATTGGCATGAAGCTTGTATTTTCCATGGCCTCGATTTTCTGCTGTTTCTGCTCTAACAAATGACATTTGTCAAGCTTTCTTTGCATTGTCTGCTCAGCACTGCCCTACTGAGGACTCCATGCAAGGGAGATCACCCCTACCCACGGAGCTCCTCTTCCCCACAGGGACACCTTCTTGTACCCACGTTTCCATAAGCAAAACAGGACTGATTTGAATAATGCTAACAAGTTACCAGGATAACGTAGCAACAGAATTGACATGCATTCATCTGCTCTAACTGAAATACACTTCACACAAATGTACATACTGCATGCAGCTTCCAACATCTCTGCCTGTTCTTTCTTCTCTTTCTCCTGCATTTATATTACTTTTTGCCATCTCTGATGCAGAGGAAACGAATTAAAGGTTTGGAGGGAAGTGTATAATTTGGTTCAAGACAAGCTAGCATTTTCTAACATCATCAGCATTGTACTCAGGTATGAAATGTGCAATTTTACCAACAAATTCAAGGTAAAAGGTAAAACGCTTGCTATTGAAGATAAAATGTTATGAACTTTTAATGCTAACTATTATTATTGAACTATTATTATTAAATACCCAGAGGTAGAGAGAAGAAATACATTTCCCATACTAAACTTTAAGCTGTGAGGTAGATAAACAAATGACATATTTTTTCCACATAACATGTACATTAGAATACTATTATTAAGCTTCAAACATCAAGCATTGAGATGTAAGGAACCAGCCGTGCCACCTCATCATCACACACTACTTTCCAGCTGTGTTTGACACCTTTTGTGACCCCAGAAGTCAACAAAAGGGCAACAGAGCTGTGCAGGGTCTGGAGCACAAGTCTTATGGGGAGAAGCTGAGGGATGGGATGGATCAGTTCGGAGAGAAGGAGGCTCAGGAAAGAGCTCACTGCCCTCTACAGCTCCCTGACAGGAGGTGGTGATGAGGTGGGGGTCGGCCTCTGCTTCCAGGTAACCGTGATAGGATGAGAGGTGATGGCCTCGAGCTGCACCAGGTGATGGTCAGGTTGGATATGAGGAACAATTTCTTCTCAAAAAGAGTGGTGATGCACTGGCACAGGCTGCCTGGGGAGGTGTGGAGTCACCGTCCCTGGAGGTGTACAAGAAAAGAGTAAATGTTGCATTGAGTGACATGGTTTAGCTGCACGGTGATGAGAGACTGATGGTTGGACCTTAGTGGTCTTTCCAACCTTAATGACTGTATGATTCTATGATTCCAAAGCCCGTTTTCCACTTGCAGGCAGCCAACTTGCACCAGCTTGCACCTTTTCTTCTTTTCACTGGAATTAGTCTAAATTGCTGTGCTGTGCAAGGTGAGCACATTCTGTTGTGTCGAAGACATCAAAATAACACATTTCAAGCCACACCTTCCCACTTGCATCAGACTGAGTGCAACACCACTATGGTCAAGAGAACTGAGCCAGGAAGCATCACCAACCAACCCCACAGCAAACCCCTCCAAGGGACACGGTCAGTGGGCAGTATTGGTGGTATATATATATACACTTACATATAGGCGAATGGTTGGACTAGATGACCTTAGAGGTCTTCTCCAACCTTAATCATTCCATGATTCTAAATAGCTTCCATTTTTGTGGCTGCAATCAGTCAGCCTGGCTGACTGCTCAGCAGGCCCAACACAGCGCTCATATCTCACATTTGGTTTTTAAGCAGGAGTTCAGCAAGCGGAGGGAAATGCTCTGAGCAGCAAAAGGGAGGAAAAAATATATGAGAAAAAAAACGTGGAAACGTCTGCTTCAGAAGAAAAGTACTTGGTTTTTGAGAATAAAAAGCTTACCAGTCAGAAATTTTCCAGTGTTCCCATAAAAAATGAAAGCCGTAAAAAAGGATTTTCAATTCCAAGACATACATCTTTTCAACTGAAAAGCTCTCACATGTAAATAGTTTTGTTCAGCCGTGATGTTCTGGCTTTGAGTTACTGATAGAGCATGGATGGTTTTAGAAAACAGCAGATACATTCCAGAGAAATTTGTATCGCATTAGGTTTACTATTATTATTGTTGTTGTTTTAAATGAAAATAACATTTTGGAAGAAAAGTTTCAACCCCAGCTGTGGTTAGGAGCTCTGAATGTGCCCAGGACTGACTTCTCCTCACCTCTGAATGACATCTGTCCTCAGCCTTCAATGGGACTCAGCTCTCCCCTGGAGATGACACAAAGGCTCCACACGCTTGCTAATACCAGGCTGACAGCCTGTGGTTCTACAAACACCTGTAACAGAAAAATAAGCTTCAAAAGAAGGAAACGAGCAGTCCCAAGCTTGATGCCCAAATGTGTTATTTGTGAAAGGAAGCTTCCAGAAGTTGGCTAATTTTAGAACCTACATTTGGATAATTTGGCTAACGCTGGAGAACAAGACTGAAAATGCCCCCAGAAGCCAGGTCCTTAAAAAATATTCCATGCTTCTTTCTCTCTGGCACGTAGAAAAACCACAAGAAAAGTCTTTCCTCAGGTTCTATGAAATCTCAGCTCCCAGCTGGACTGGAGAAGAACAGAGGCAAGTGGAAATGAAAATCTGGAGTGACGTTCATACGGCTGAAGTTTTTGTCTGGATTTGAATGAAAGATGGAGAGAAAGGCAAATTCATGGGATAAAGGAGATGGGAGGGAAAGAGGCAGCTTGCATTTCAGCAGGAAGCTTCAACAACCTTGAATTCTGTAAGGGCTGAACAGGATGGAATTAGATCACACACCATCCCACCAGCAGCAAAGACAGTTTGAACTGGAAAAAGCTCAAACTACCTACACTGAGAGATAAATGAAGAATGAGGTCCAGCTCAGCAATCAAACCCACACCCAGCACCAAACACACTTGTGTCCACTTACCTTCAGACTGAACAACACTCGCTCTGAATGGGGTAAAAATCCCCTGGAACCACTGAAGGCATGGACATGGCACATAAAAGGAGCCCGACTCACCTAACCTGCCTTCCTGGACAGCACAAAGCTGGGTGCCCAACACCCGCGTGGAGTTTCTCCTCTCCCTTATGCTGATGGGTATCACGCTGCTCCCCACTCTCACAGGGTCTCCAATCTCAGCTTTTTCATATCCCCATCCAAAACAGCCCCATCAAGACCAAGAGGATTGCAAGCCCTTGTGCATGGCTCACCAGCAGCACGTTGGAGTTTGGCTGAGCAAGAAGGTAAAGCGAACCACGGGTCGAACATGCAACAAGCATTTTGATTTAAAGAGTTGTGCTGGGGTGAGAATGCACGTGCAGGTTGGAAGGAAGCAGCCTGGAAGGGGGGTTTCCTTCCTCAGCTCCTGCCATCTGGCAAAAGGCTGTGGAAGTCATCTGATGCCACGCAGAGCGGTTAGGGAGGACCCCATGGCACAGGGAACAGCCAGGGCTTTGTATGGCTCCACGTGTTTTCCTCCTCAGCCATAGAGTGAACTCACCAGAGGATCCTCACAGACTTCAGTGTCTTGCTCATGGGCAGCCAATGGTGAGGAGGAGAACACAGCCAGGGTTAGGGAATGGATCACCTCCCTAGGATGCCTGTTTCAGTGACTGACCACCCAGAAGGTAAAAAACTTTTTCCCAGTGCCCAGCCTGAACCTCTGCTGGCACAGCACTGCGCACAGTTCCTCTTCCTGCAGTCCAGCACATGCAGTAACATGCACTGAACTGCATCTGAGGTTCTCTTAAAGCAATCACCAAGAGACTGGACAACGGATGCAGTTGTATCCCAGTAAGTGTGAGAGCACCTGGACCAGTTTGAGCCCAGCTGTACACAGCAAAGATTCCTGACAGCAACTACAGGACGGATTTAAATTGATGTGGTTAGCTCAGCACTGCCCTTCTTTGTAAGTGAATGTGACATTTTCTAACAAGTCCTACCCTTACTGCAGCTTCACACTGCAATAAGACATACACACAGAATATCCTCAGGCCCCAGTACTGCAGGTATGATTCCCTAGTATCATCAGTTTGGAGCAGTCAACCAGTGAGGCTCTTTTTATTCCCATTTTTCTATGCTCCATTTTCAAAGTCCATGGGAACGAACCACACAAGAGCATTCAAAATAAGGCATGCACACACCAAATCTGTTGGCTGTTGCAGCTCCTTAAAATATATTCCCCAGAAACTGCCAATGAACTAAGAACTATTGGGAGCAACCTGCTGTGCACAAAGCAACCTGAAGCTGGATGAAGACAACCTTTGGGTCTTGTCCTGACTCCATGTCCCACAGTTTCAACAGACCAGGTGCTGTCTTCCCCATGCTAACTCAACAAAAGCAGCAGCTCTTACCTGGAAGATCTGCATGGTGTAGCAGGATATCAGAGCCTGGATCCCAAGAGTAAAGATGGCTGCAATGGATCTAAATGCTGATCTAAATCCAGAGCATTCAGGAGTGTTTGCAATCTGAACAAAGCGTGCTTTTCAGGCCCAATGTCTCTTGCTAGCTGAACATACACTAAACACAACGGGTCCCACCTCCTGCTTGGATACATTACATGTGATGCCATAGCACAATTTGTTACCAGCATCATTCAGACTTTCCCATTCTCAGATGTCATTGCTTGCTCTACATTTTCAGCCTTTCCTGGACAGGAGGTGGCAGCAGGTCAATGCCTCTCCTTCGCTGCTGACCTCCCCATCCACTGTGAAAACAAAACCTCACCTCCTTCCATCTCCAACCTCACACTCTGCAACCCGAGCCTTTTCTGCAGCCCAGCAGCTCAGCCTTTGCTGCTCTCAGTAGGAACCACACTGGCTCCATTAATCATCTTCCCCCTGCCTGACACCCAGGCATCCCACCTCACATGTTGCTGCTGGCATCCCCACTTCTGCACCATGCACATCCAATGCCGTTTGTTCAGCCTCACCATTTACAAGCTGTAACACGCTGGGCTGCACTGTATCCCTTTTCCTACTCAGATACAGTTCTAACAACAATCTGGATGAGATCACATAGAGAGGAAATGACACTTTCTGCCTGTTCTGAGGACCAAAATGGCAGCATTATGCTGTGAAGTGCCACAGACATTTGATAAAGCTATTATTTCTATAAAGCCATATTTGGAACCATTCCCTCCCTTCCCAAAGCAAAACAAGAGGAGGGGGTTTTCTCTTCATGTCTGCAATACAATGAGGACAAGGTTGTGGTGTGGCAGAAGTCAGTCACTTCTCCCAGGTAACAGCGACAGGATGAGAGGAAATGGCCTCAAGATGTACCAGGAAGGTTCTGTCTGGATTAGGAAAAACTTCTTCTAAAGAGTGGTGATGCATTTGGCACAGGCTGCCCAGGGAGAGGAGGGGGAGGTATTCAAGAACCGTGGAGATGTGTGACTTAGGGACATGTACTACTGGCCAATATTGGCAGCAGGCGTATAGCATATGAGATGATCTTAGCGGCCTTTTCCAAGCTTAATGATTTTAGGATTCTGTGAACGAGGTAGAAGCATCTTCTCATGAAATGAACAGCTGGCAAAGTCCAGGTACAGACCAGCTGATTGGTTCCTATCAGCCATGCATTGCTCACTCGCCTCCTAGCAAGCACAGCAGACACAAACAAATTCTCTACAGCTAGAAACATGAATTCAGCTTCCATAAGACCCAGCACTTGGGAACAGTGCTGCTAAGCTCCCCTGCCTCTTTCACAGCCGTGTACAACTGGGACAGACAGAACACCGAGCCCAAAGCCCAACATGATCCTCTCTGGAGGGAAATTTCAACTTTTCAGCCAAAAAGTGCAAACGGTGTCCCAGAGTGCTTTGAACTTAATGAGGCATGTTATTTTTAACTTTTATAGATGAATATGTCATTAAAAGCAAACATATTTCTAGGAGAGGGAAGAAAAAAAAGCTGAATTCTCTGCAGTTTGGACTCCTTTGAGACCACCTCTACTTTCAGCATGAGACAATAGGTCATAAAAAGAAGACAAACACACTGGGCATCTTCTTCCTTTTCACAAGTGGCATCACAGCGTTACTTCCTCTCATTTAAAACACTATTTGGTATTCCTGTGCGACCAAGAGCCGGGTCTCCCCTTGCCAGCACGGCCATCTGAAGGCAGCACGTGGGAACCCAGCCCAGGGCAGATGGCTCCGTACCCAGTCAGGCACAATAACCATCAGTCAAAATCCATAATTGTAAATTGAACTGAATTGAAAGCTCTGTGCAGGCAAGGAATTTAGTTCATTTTGGGGTTTGTTTTATTTGTCCTAAGGGCTACTGGCGCAGATGAGAAGTAGGAGGGGAGCTTGAAATCAATCTTGCTAGAACGGCTTCATCCCAGCAAAAACATCCACGCGCAAAGTAGCTTGCAGCAAACGATCATCTGGTGGCTGGTTTTGAGTTATAGCAGCACAAAGTTGGGCTCTAACTCCATCTCTGGGCACTCAAGCACTCTGCATTAGAAGCACTTGCAATCCAAAGATGCAGTTTTCAGTGCCAAGAGAAATCGGGCTTCCTTCATACAGGATCTAAAGGTGAATTTAGGAACCGTTGTGCAGCCACACCGAGAGCAGTTTTGCTCAAATCCTCCGTCCATCTGCTAATCTTCCGCCTCCCTCCAGGAAGCACGTGTCAATGGGACGATGGAATGGCTTTATCCACACAGATCTCACTGCTCCTCACTCTCCCCAGGCTCTCACACTGGTAAGTGTGGCTCCTCAGAACTCACAATGTGAGGAATGCTGAATTTTCTCCAGGAAAAACAAACTCATCTCGCAGGTCAGGGAAATGTGACTCAGTTGTAACATTAGCAAAGCCTCTTTTGGACAGAGGTGAAGAAGGCAGACATAATCACCATTCTTCCCTTGGTCTAATCTGCTATGGCTCTGGTGCAGATCCCAGAATCCATCCCAGCAGCACCATTACAGCATCTCCAAAGAGCCATAGGAAGGATGAAGGTCCCAGCTCTGCTCCACTTAGAGGCAAACGCCCATTCCTAAGCTCTACAGCTCCCGAAGCTGCCAGATATTGCTTCCCCTCAATAGCACTGGGGACTAGTGGTATAGGGGTATCCTAGGACTTGATTTACTGAAGGATTACCAAACATCACTGGGAAGCTTTAAAGCCAAGCACACATTGCATTCCCAGATGTTCTGCAGGAACAGCATGATCTGCTCTGTTTGCACCCCTTTCCTAAGGGCAATCTGCAGCCACATCAGTGCCACTGCCCTGGCAACAGAAGGATGCAACAGGAGCCAGAGCACAGCTGGGAAAAGAGCAAATAGACCTGGGCAAAAGAGTAGCACGCGTT